GAGCAAAAAGCGTTCTCCCAAAGTTACATCTGGAAAAGGATTAAAAAGCAAATTAAAAACTGTTATTACAAAAGTAAAAAGACACATAAAAAAATTAAAACCTAAGACCAAGAAAATGGCTATAGAATTAGCTATTGCCGCTACCAGAGAATTAGCTAATGATTCATCGATTAAGCTCCCTCGCGTTATTCCTATTCCAAAAACTGGGGGAGTACTACCTCTGATTCCTATTTTTGCGGGGTTATCAGCGGCGGGAGCTTTAGCAGGCGGTGCAGCTGGTATTGCTAAAACCATAAATGAATTTAAAATGGCTAAAAAGCTGTATGAGGAATCGAGGAGACATAATGAAAAAATGGAAGCTCTATGTATTGGGAAAGGACTACACCTTAAACCACATAAAAGTGGTCTTGGAATTTTCGTATTAAAAGAAAAAAACTAAGATATCGGCTACCCAAACGGGCCTTAACTAACTTTGACATTTTAAAGTATGGAAATAGAATTCCTTATTTTAGAGGTGTCTTTATGAGAGATGAGCTCCCTAAATATCCGTATAAAAAAGAATGTGGAGTTATTAATTTAGATAGTTCTAAAAATCCTGGTTCTCATTGGGTAGCCTATGCAAAATATAATGATTATGTTGAGTATTTCGACAGTTACGGGAATCTTAAGCCACCAAAGGAATTTGTAAAATATGTAGGTTCTAACATTCAATATAATTATGAAAATATACAACGTGATCACCCCTTCAACTGTGGACATCTTTGTTTACACTTCTTAAACAATTTTTGGTCAACGAAGCAATAAAATGAACAGGATCTTTCATAACAGTCCAGTATATAAGCATGTCTACTACGGTTACCATCTCTGGAAATAAATCAGAACTGGTCTCGTATTTTCAACCACCTCTTCATTTATCTGATCAATACGAGTGCGGTTTACTATACTTTTCAGTATTTAATTCAAGACCAGATATTTCAGTTAAAACTAGTAATCTGTCTGTGATCAAAATTGAATGTGAGCTTGTGTACGGTTCATACTGCAATGGATTACCAACACATTTTATTCATGAATTTGTATCAGATACTGCTCTAAGTCATGGTTATAAAGAAATACCACAAAACGTTATTTACTTTCCAGTGAACAAAAATATAATTTCATCCATATCTGTTAAAATTGTTGATCAATTTGGTCACTGTATTAACTTCGAAGAAGAATATATTCAGTTACGTCTGCACTTAAGAAAAACAAAATGATAGTATATTATAAAAGCACTCCAGTAAAAATAAATCGGTTTATTTCTTCTGCAACCGCTAAGGCGCAAAGACGTAATACAAAAATTAAGAAACTGACTAAAGCAAATAAAGATTTTCTTAAAGCTCTGGGTTTTAAAGTATGAATATGCTACAGATTACTGAATTACCGCATTTCGACAGTTCGATTGAAAGTTATGAAATCCATTCGTACAATCCCTACAATAACAGCTTTAGAGAAAACGATGAAATCAGAATCCCCATACATCAGCAAGATATATACGTGCTACCATCAGCCAGTTCAATTTACATCGAAGGACAGGCAAGGCTGTTCGGTAAAGATGGGAATCCGATCAAGAAAACTGTTACGTTCACTAATAACCCTGTTATGTCTTTGTTTCAAGACATCAGATACGAAATGAATGGTATCGAAATAGACCGTATTAAAAATTCAGGAATTACGTCAACAATAAAAGCATACATTTCATTAAATGAAGCAGAAAATAAAGTTGCAGCCTTATGGGGTTGGAACTTAGCGGGATTCCAAAATGATGGACATTTTAGTGCTGTGATACCATTGAATAAGATTTTAGGGTTTGCAGAAGATTACAATAAAATTGTGATAAATTGTAAACACGAACTTATTTTGAGTAGAAGCAACTCTAACTTAAATAGTGTTATTCTCACTGATGATGTTGTTAATTTTCAAATAGATATACAAAGAGTCCAATGGAGGGTGCCACATATAAAAGTGTCAGATCGAGAACGACTAACACTTTTAAAACATTTAGAAAGAGATAAACCTATTCAGATGGCTTTTAGAAATTGGGATTTATATGAGTATCCCTTGCTACCTAAAACTACAAAGCATTCTTGGTCAGTTAAAACAGCTTCACAATTGGAAAAGCCTAGATATGTTATATTTTGCTTGCAAACTAATAGGAGAAATAATAGGACTAAAGACAGTTCACTATTCGATCATTGTGAAGTGACCAACGTAACACTCTTTTTGAATTCGCAATATTATCCCTACGAACCTTTGAGTTTAAAGTTTTCTGAGAACAAGTACAGTATATTATATGAAATGTATGTGAAATTTCGTCAGTCGTATTACAACAGTCCTGTTGACCCATTGCTAGATCTAACAGATTTTAAAGAAAAGGCTCCCCTTTTCATCTTAGATTGCTCAAGACAAAACGATAGTTTAAAAACCGGTCCAGTGGACGTGCGGTTAGAAGTTGAATGTTCCACACCAATACCAGATAAGACAACTGCGTATTGTTTGATTATAAACGATCGACTTGTGGAATACAAACCTCTCAGCAACATTGTGCGCAGATTATCATGATTGCTGTTGTTGATATTCAAGGATTTAGAACAGAAGCAGGTGAATTTATATTAAAAGAAATCGCTATATTGTGTAACAAAAAACTACAAGTGTTTTTAGTTAAGCCACCATTTCCATTTAAAAATTTAACGGAATCTGAAAAGAAGGTAGTTCTTTGGATTCAACGTAACAAAAAGATATACTGGAGTGAAGGATTTGTACCTTATTCCAATTACCAGACTTTGGTTTCCGATATATTAAGAGATAAATGTGTTTATGTTAAAGGTTCAGAAAAAGTTTTATGGTTAAAGCATATTTTAGAAAATAGTAATAGTAATATATTTAATTTAGAAGATAAGGGTTGTTCTAGTTTAGTACATTTATATGATCAATATAAACATTCGCAAGATATGTATAATTGTATTTATCATAACTCTATATGTGCTTTAAAAAATATATTGTGTTTAAATAAATGGTGCCATGATAATAAAATTTTTATGAAATAAAAAAAACTTGTTTAATTTTTTATAATATGTTTACTATCTCTCCCAATCCTGTACAATCACGTTTATAAATTGCTTGCAGCATTAAAGCAATGTCATTTTATGTTTATAATTATTAGCATCAAGAACTAGTACCAAATAAATAAAATATGTTTCAAACTGAATATAAACCTCGATATGATATGTATAATGCATACAAAATACGTGAATTATCCTTTAATTATTACTGGGGGACGAATAATTCAAAGAAAAGATTAGTGATGGAAATGGCTGATGCTGGATTCTTTTATTACGGAAATAATCCATATGATAAAGCAGCATGTTTTTCATGTGGAGGCGTTATAGAAGATTGGGAAATTTATGATGATCCTTGGATGCAGCATGCTATAAATTTTCCACAGTGTTTTTATTTGAACGCGGTGAAAGGGGGGGAATATGTCAATAAGTGGCAAAACATCATCAAGAATTGTGTTAGTGAGAAATCTTGCATATATGGAAGCGCATCGAATGAATGATGTCACACAATATACGTCTCATTAATGTAAACAAAGTGCATGAAGCGGTTCGCTATTTTGTTACATATTCGACGACACGTTTGGCTTAATGGTTAAGACCCTGGTCACAACTGAGTGCAATATTATAACACGTTCTTCAACCACAAAGACGAAGTGTCGTGGGTTCAATTCCCACACAGACAAGTTGATATTAGTTCTGGTCTGGTTTTTTGTTTGAGTTTAAATGAAGTTTTCACAATAACATTTAATTTAACCGCTGAATATTATGATCAAGAAACAGATTAAAATAATATGTTAGTAGAAGATTAAAATGTGGAAAATAGGGTATCCAGATCTCTGATCTGGATGCCCTATTTTCTAACTACTTCAATTCGAACCAGTATTTCCGGAGGTTAGCGCGTTTAAACCAACAAACTCTTCAGCTTTGTAATATTAGTATAGATATAAAACTTCCTCTTCAATTACTCTATCTATAAAAAAACCGCATTAAAATTTCTTGCGCAGTTTTAAAGATGTAAGCATACATAGGGATATAGGGACAAAGATGCAGACCTGGACGGATCTGGATGAAATTTGGAACAGGCAGTGACGGATTAAGACTATTTGATGCCCTACGCAATCTACGCCTGTAGACCCCTATCCGTATGTCAACTAGAATCGGTCTTTTAACCTTTGCCGCCTGAAACATTAGTGTTTTTGTAAAATAAGATGACGAGAAGTGAAGTACCTTACGTACCTTAGAAGTGAATTAGTTTTTTTTTGTGACGTGATAATCATCAAGTGACTTCTCCCGCCCAGGGCCGTACGGGAGAGAGTGTCAGACTCTTACTGACTAAAAAACCCCCCCTGTTCCTTCTCCTGCTCCGGGTGGAGGTCGCGGTGCCTCATTGCGCTTACCCCGCAACCCCAGCTGAACATCAGCCCTATGGGGTCCCGTCTGTGGTGGTCTATTGGCTCTTTGAGACGCGCGCGGAAAGCTACGCGCCGTACGCGGTTCTGGTTCTGGTCGGGCGGCGAGTTTCCCTTATTCGCCGTCCGCAAACCCGCACTTACGGTGACCGGAGATCGTCCCTTGATCCCCGACTCCCGTAGTGTCGCCTGTTGCGGCGGCTGGTGCGTGAGGAGGAGAATTGCTCCCTCATGCGGGCAGAAGTGAAGTAGGTGCTAAAACAATAAAAAACAAAGCATAATTTATTTTTCTTGTGCTTCTTCTGGTGCCCCCCCTCCCCCTCTCGGACGTGATGCCCTAGGCAAGTGGTTAATTTGATTAAGGGTTAATCTGTCACTGGGCACAGGCATATGATACTTTCCGGAATAGGACGTAGGCTACTTTTTATCAACATATGTACATACCACGCGGGCGAAGCTAGTAAAAAAATATTAAATGTAACCTTTTTGTTTTCAGCGTAAATCGGAACCAGTTATCTTGGAATACTTTGAGCATGGAGACACCAACGCTGCTGCTGAAGACTTCTTGGAATTCGTCACAGCCAACAGATGTCACCTGGTAAGTCTTTTTTCGGCAAACGAGCTCACGAATTACCTGATGGTAAGCAATCAGCGCCGCCCATGGACACGAGTGTTACGAGAGTTACGAGTGCGTTGCCGACCCTTTAAGGATTAGGGATTTCGAGATTTTGGGATTGAGGAAGGGGTGGATTGGGCCTTCAGTAACCTCAGTGACACGGCGGAACACATCACTGTGGTTGTTTTACGCCGATTTTCTGTAAGGCAGTGGTAATACTCCGGTCGAACCGACCCATTTCATGCCGAAGCATGGTTCTAACTTCATCCTCAACGCTATTTAAAACTATTTGTTGTTCATAGGTTTGTGAAACGATTGTGGAGATTGCATTGGATCATAAGCCGTCTCACTGCGAAATGGCATCCTTCCTCATCTCCGACCTCTACGGCAGAGTCTTCTCCGCAAAAGACATCGGCATTGGTAAGTAGTACCGATACCGTTTTTGCGCTACCTAGATGGCGACACTTGCGATAATGGCATAAAGAAAAATTTTCTTTTTAAGTGTGTCAAGTGGTTGCAAGCGTAGTTTTTAAGCAAAATCCTAGTATCAGTGAGAGTATTATTGGATTTTTTATACTATAAAGAGCATAAAACTTGCCCCCTATAACATATGGGACTCAAAGTGCAGCAAAAAGTCAGTGCTAGATGCATTTTTAGTACTCTTCAGTTCTATTACTTTTAAAATCCAAAAAACATGTTTCATAATTTTATTACGGGGGTTTAATTTAATTATATGGGGTGGTTTTTAGTCAGTAAGTCTGTTCTAGAGTAGAGACCACGTCTAGGCAAACGTAGTGTAGGGCGCCCTCCAGCTAGGTGTACTGACGATATCCGTAAGACTGGCAGTGGTTGGATGAGAAGAGCTGAACATCGAGCTCAGTGGCGTGGAATTGGGGAGGCCTATGTCCAGCAGTGGACGAAATCAGGCTATGATGATAAGGATGAAAAGTCACTTCTTCTCGAGAGAAGTTATTTGACGATTCACCGGTCAAAAACAAAAGAAAAACATACATTAGAAGCGACCTATTCGCCAGGCTTGACCTTAACTACAACCACCATAATAAGGTGTTTAATATTAATTACAAAAGAAATAATTACTTTATTCCATTTCCAGCGTTTGATCGTCTCCTGGAGAAGCTACCAGACCTAATCCTGGATACTCCTGATGCGCCGGTTCTCCTTTCCAACTTCATAGCTCGGTGTGTCGCCGATGATTGTCTACCACCACGCTTTGTCCAGACCGCTAAGGATAGACCTGATCTCAACGCTCAAGCCAAGTGAGTTTTTTGACCGTATTACTTAGCAAAATCCTCTTCTCAAACGGAGAAGATTTTTTATGGAACAGGAGGAAAACGAGCAGACGGATCTCCTGATGGTAAGTGATCAGCGTCGCCCATGGACACCTGCAACACCAGAGGAGTCACAGGCGCGTTTCCGGCCTTTTAAGAAGGAGTACACTCGGTTCTTGAACTTTAGAAGGTCATATCGGTTGGGGAAGATTAGATTGGAGCATTAATTACTATGCTTAAGTGTGGGAGAGCCATGCTTCGGCACGAATGGGTCGGCTCGACCGGAGTGATACCACGGCCTCGCAGAATACCAGCTTGAAACAACTACAGCGTTGTGTTTCGCCGTGTGAGTGAGGTTACCGGAAGCCCAATCCCGCCCCTTCCCCTATCCCTTCCCTATCCTTATATCCGCAAAAGGCCGGCAACGCACTCGTAACTCCTTTGGTATTACGTGTGTCCATGGGCGGCGCCGATTGCTTACCATCAAGTAACCCGTCTGCTCGTTTGCCAACTTATACCATAAAAAAATGCTTGCTCAAGGTGAAACCACCTTTTTTAACATGTTAGATTTTATATTATTTGGTCTCTTGTTACAGACAAGCCATTCACCGGGCTGAAACCTTACTATCAATGAAGCAAGGAATGGTGAGACTGGACAACATCTGGGGAGTCGGAGGCGGCATCAGGTAATTAATTATTGACATAATTGGGTATTGTAGATATTTAAATGTCACAAGTAATTCTTATAAAATAATATACTTGTAGTTAGTTAGTAGTATTTAAAGTCAGTATTTTTTTAATATGTAATTTTGCGAATATGTATAATGTTTTTGGAAATTGTCTGACATGGGCACCTACCTCGAGTCTGTGGAGGCTAAACAATAAATATATTTTTATTATAACTTTCGTGGGACTATTATGTTTTCGGCTTACTAACGTGATTATTTGACTGAGTGATTAGTTCCTTGTCAAATAATTATGTGAGTAAGCCGAAAACATTATAGTTAATATTTATATATAAAAGTTTCGTGTCACGTGTTTGTCCGCGTTGGACTCCTAAACTACTAAACCGATTTTAAATTTGATTTGCATTCCGTGTGCATTTTTATCCAACTTGAAAAATAGGATAGCTTACATCCCAATTTATGGTCACAATATTATTTTGACAAGAACCTTAGCCACAACAACGCGTGGGAGGGTCTGCTGGTATATGTATATAAAAAACATAACTGGGTAGTTTCTAAGGTCAAAAATAAATGAATTCAAAGTTTCAAACCAATTAAATATTTAGTGTTAATACACTTAATTTCGATATTTTATAGCTATTTATATGAGAAAGAAAATAGTTGTTCCCATATTTTCTCACCGTCTAGTTACATTAAAATTTATTCTCTATCTACCGCTAATACAAAAGTTTTCTTTTTTAGAATCTATTATTAACACTTCTCTGCATCACCCTTGAGAATGCCTTCGGCTATTAAGTCCGCCTTTGTATTTTTATGTGTTAAATAAATAATAAAAGTAATATTTATCCTCAGACCAGTGAAGTCCCTGATCCGTCAGATCCAGTTACTCCTGAAGGAGTACTTGACGTCCGGCGACCTCGCTGAGGCCATGAGGTGTGTGAGGGAGCTGGAAGTGCCACATTTCCATCACGAATTAGTTTATGAGGTAATTTTTTACCCTCGTATGTTTTACTTACTCCCGCCCGCGACTTCACACGCGTATTAAAGTAATGTATCTCGGGATTTTAAAAACAGCAGCGTTTAAATCGATAGCTCGACTAAAATACGCAAATCTATACTAATATTATAAAGAGGTAAAATTTGTAAGTTTGTATGTAGGGGTTATCTTTGGAACCGCTGGTCGGATTATCAAAATTCTTTCACTGATAGATAGCTACAATGTTCCTGAGTGCTATAGGTTAACACATCACGTTACGATCAAATAGAGCCGAGCAGCGGGTGATATAGAGCTAGAGAAGCCAGTCAAGTATAATTTGTTGGCTATGTGCAAAGCGAGTACTGGCGGACAGATAACGACCGCAGCGCACAACACGGCAGAAATTGGAAACAAATCCGTATGATCGGCTGTCGGTTTTTATTATTATATTAATTTTAAAGTAAAACTATTGAATAAATTGCACATAAATAATGCCAACAATAATATTTTAATGTTTGGTTTCATTTATATTTGCAAAGAAAATTATAATGTTTACATTGTTATTATTTGACAGCTTCCGCAAATGTTGTAAACGATACTCGTCGCCATCGTCGCGCACATAGCCAATAGCATATATCACTCAGAAACATGGTAGCTATCAATCAGTACCAGTAAAAGAATTACACCCGGTTTCCGAAAGGCCGATCAATGTTAAAATCAATTTAATCTCTTGTCAAGTCATTTGATTGGTTGACTGAATTATCAACAACCAATCAGATGACTTGACAAGAGATTTAACAGGAAATTAGTTAGCGTTCACAAGCCTTTCAGAAACCGGGTGTTAGTAAAAGAATTTTGGAAATCTGACTAGCGGTTTCAAAGATTACTCCCTATATTCAAACATACAAATTTTATCTTTTGTTGAATATTATAACATGTTTTTTAGCTTCTGCCAGCGTTTTTGTCTGCATAATAAATCTCTGTGCCTAATTTAATTCTGTTCTATAATTAATTGATACTTACACGTTAAAACAAAATTATGTATTTCAGACCGTCCTATTAGCAGTGGAAGCTATAAACTCAGGTGTGGAAGATCAGCTCTGTTCCTTCCTCGCTGAACTCCATAGATGTGTCATAGTCAGCCCCGACCAGATGGACAGGGTATGTTATACTCTTAATAATATTTTTTTTTCATTTGGGACATCCAAGCCCTGCTGGTTTTACCAAAGTGATTTATTTATTTATTATAAGGTAGGCTCACAGCTTATGTATACAAAGTGGTTTAAAGTATTGGTTATAGGCAGTAGGTCATATACATTAGCCAGTTACGATACAAAAAAAAGTATTTATTCTTGTCTAGTATGAATATAGAAGACAATAAACAAGTGAATAACAACAAAAACTCGAAAGGCATAAGAAAAAATAAGCGAAACCTTGATACCACGGCCAAGGCACGTCATACTACAGCGATATAGAAAACCGGCACGAAACAACCACAGCGTTGTGTTTCGCCTTGTTATTTGTATAATATATGGTTGCCATAGACCTATTCCCTCACCCTCCCCCCATCGCGATTCTTAAATAATCGAAACCCATATCCCTAAAAGGCCGGCAACGCACTCGTAACTCCTTTGGTGTTGCGGGCGGTTCTGATTGCTTACCATCAGATAATACGTGAGCTCGTTTGCTGAACTATACCTTAAAAACAATTTGGCATTGAAGTCTAAAATATTTTAAGTTATTAACTGCCGATAGATTACTCTTGAAGTTAAATCCTCCGCTAGCGGGGCTCATTGTGGTCCCTATGGCTTTGATCCAAGGATGAAATGGATATGAAAGTTCGGATACGGATATAGGAATTATTATTATACTGGATATGGATACGGGTATTCAAATTTTAAGGAATTTCATAAGTAAAATAGAAATAGGTAGTATATTGGTTTCATTTACATATGGCGCATATTTACACAAGCGCGCGGCGTATATGTCGGCTGCGCTTAGTCGATCAAAACAATTATGTAGTCATAACGTGTCTCAATTAGTTTCCCCCCATATCCGATATCATCCGAATTTTTTATTTCGGAGTCAGTTACGGATATTTTTTATTTTATATCGTACGGAACTTCCTAACATCCCTGCTTTCATCATCATCATCATCATCAGCCTACGAGTGCCCACTGCTGAGCAAAGGCCTCTTCTCATATGAAGAAGGTTAGAGCATTAATTACTTGCTCAAGGCGGATTGGCGATTTCAAACTTATAATTAGAAATTATAGGACCATGTTTCCTCAGATGTTTACCTTCACCGTATGTCAGTGGTGTCTAAATAATCATAGAAAGTACATATAACTCGGAAAAAGTCACATTGGTACTTACCCACACCCTCATGCATGAGAAGCCTACTCCTTAACCTCTGTGCCACCATGACATCCCTGCTTTAAACATGTTAAATAGTATATTCTCATCCCCAGGGTTTCCTCCGTGTCCTGGAAGATATGTCGGACATAGTCCTGGATGTGCCGCTAGCCTACATCATGTTGGACCGGTTTATGGAGAAATGCCAACAGAAGTTCAGGCTTGGAGATGAGGTGCTCAAACGGATGCCTACCAGGTGAGAGGAATGCTTCGAGAAATTAAAATATCACTCACTAGGTACTCTCGCGCGGTTTCACCCTCTGCTCGGCTCCATTTAATCGTACCGTGATGTTTTGTAGCCTATAGCACTCAGGAATATTGTAGCTATCAATCAATAAAAGAATTTTGGAAATCCGACCAGCGGTTCCAAAGATTACACCCTACACACAAACTTACAAATTTTACCTCTTTATAATATTAGTATACATCATCATCATCAGTCTATACACCACAGACGGGGCCCAATAGGGCTGATGTTCAGCCGGGGTTGCGGGGTAAGCGCAATGAGGCACCGCGACCTCGGCCTAAAGCAGGAGAAGGGCAGTTTTAGTCAGTAAGAGTCTGACACTCTCCTCGCTTTACCCTGGGCGGGAGAAGTCGGCATATTACAAAATAAAGATTAAAAACTACTTTTAAACACTAAATTCCATATTTTCAGGGGTCGCAAACGTTTCGTCTCCGAAGGTGACGGCGGCGTCATCAAGGACCATGCTTTGAAACTACGCGAGTAGACCAGCTGACACATGGAGCCCTACGCCAGTCGCCAGCGGAGCCCTAAACCACAGCCAACCCACCAGAAACACATTTCAACGACACCGGAAAACATTACCTGAAGGTAGTCCTATTAGAAAAAGTATATTGTATAATATACAGAATAATTTTCGTTATTATAAGATGCTACGAACAGACATAAAAGACAGAAAATAAGTTATGAGCCCCGTTCGTAACTCGAAACTAGTCGGGAAATCTCGAAAGTTTCGAGAGTCCATATTATCTGTAATTGGTATATGGACAATTCTCTCTTTACTTATGCAAAAGGGCCTATAAGAAAGATATATAAATGTTTGTCTGTCTGTCTTGAAAATTTATTGTACAATAGTATATTTTTTTATATAGAAAGTGACAAGAAAAGCAATATTTAATTAAAAAAATAATAGTTGTAACTACCTACCTAGTCAAAAATAGGGTTTTTAGTTTCAAAATTTTAGTTGTTTTTAAATTTCTTTATGATTTTTTTCTGTTTATGTGAATTGTATAGTTATTACAATTAGCTCAAAAATTGTTAGGTAGCGTAATTTTTTTTTGGAAATTTCTTCTTTTCTTTTATTTTTTGGTTTATGGAAATTCTATGTTGTTTTAATTAGTTTCTCGTCAAAGCATTTTGTTCATTGTCCACTTTATAATGTATTCGTAAGAGTAACGATGGAGTTTCTTGCTCATTCTTCTTCATAGGAATCTACACTTTGGAACATATTTTCCTTCTGTGACAGACAGACTGACAGACTATTCTACCCTGACGATTCAAAAGTACCTGTTTAGGAATTACCTAGCTTTCGCACGCGTATTAATGTTCTCGGGATTTTAAAAACTGCAGCGTTCAAAGCGATAGCTCGACTTAAATACGCAAATCAAGGTATAATTTATAGCCTATAGCACTCAGGAACATTGTAGCTATCTATCAGTGAAAGAATTTTGGTAATCCGACCAGCGGTTCCAAAGATTACCCTCTACATACAAACTTACAAATTTTACCTCTTTATACTATTGCATACAGTTTTTAAACTTCAAATGTGTTTGTAACTTAGTTTTTGTTTAAAATTTAGTACTCAAAAGGCTAGTTTAGTAAGTTTTGAGCCTAAATTCTATTTATTATGACTTATGATACTAATATTGGGTAGTTTTCTAAGGCTGATTTTTCAATAGTCAGATAAATGTTTTCTGAGAAATAAAATTCTTGCTGTCACTGTCTTATACAAAAATTGTGACGCGACAGCATCATAATTATTCCCCAGGTAACTTTTGTCTAACCATTGAAAAATAAATTATTTTCTGATTTGGCAGTGTACTTCATTTTAAAGGTTTTTTTAATTAACGTTTTTTAAAATAAGTATGACCTATTTTTGACCTAAAAAATATCAAAATTCATAGAAACTTTTATATGTATATTATAGTTTTTCATATTTCAATAAAAGTATTGAATTTGACTAGTTTGAAAGTACCCGATTGTGTATTATAACACAACATGTAGTATTGGTTACTTAAACAATATATTATTCGTAAAATAATAAGTCACTTCGATTTAATAAAGAGATGTAACCATTTTTTACAACAGATAATATCTTTTAAAATATAATTTTTTAATTACCTAGCCCTTAGCAATGAGGGTTTTCTGAAACATTCCCCGTAAGACATTGAAAACTATAAAAAGACCAGAAAAAGCATTTGCTAGGTCAGCTAGTCGAAAATAACATTATAATACTTCAAAATACATAATTACTGCCAACAGAAAATGGATCGAAAACCCACATTATATTTGTAACTAAAGAGTCCCGGCCCTGCGTAAGTCATAATTGTATTAATTAGGCTTAAAACTTACGGCTGATTTTTCAATAGTCAGATAAATGTTATCTGAGGAATAAAATTGTTGCTGTCACTGTCTTATACAAACATTCTGACGCGACAGCATCATAATTATTACCCAGCTAACTATTATCTAACCATTGAAAAATAAGCAGAGTCAGTCTATTACTTAAAATCTGTGGTTAAACTCCGTCTTGGCGAAAAAGGCTCCAATAAGGAGGTGTGGTTAAAAAACTAAAAGATATAACATCGTTAACCTTTTTCATCTTAAACTTAGGCATAGAAAAGCTTTTTTAGACGTTTTTTAATAAAAAAAATGTTTGTCGTGTCTATTAAATAATGTTCCAGATTCGAAATTTGAACGTTTTGCAATGGTTTTTGAAATAATGTTAGGTTTCGTATTAATATCTACATATCTAACCCCCGGTATCCGAAAGGCCGATCAATGTTAAAATCAATTTAATCTCTTGTCAAGTCATCTGATTGGTTGACTGAATTATCAACAACCAATCAGATGAGTTGACAAGAGATTTAACAGGAGATTAGTTAATTTAAGCGTTGACAAGCCTTTCAGAAACAGGGTGTAAGTCCTCTTACTTGGAATAATTGTTTGTGTGATCCACAAATTGTTGTTCCTAGTCTGGGTGTGATGTGTATATGAAATACATATTATTATAGGTTGACTGCCAATTAGTGTCTAATATTTAAACATGTGATTGTACTCATGATATCAAACAACTTTCCCAAAGAAACTTTTTTTCTAAACTCATTAGTTTCATTTTTATTCACTACTAGCTACTCTCTCGCGGTTTCACCCGCTGCTCGGCTCCATTTAATCGTAGCGTAATGTTTTATAGCACACAGGAACATTGTAGCTATCTATCAGTGAAAGAATTTTGGCAATCCGATCAGCGGTTCCAAAGATTACCCCCTACATACAAACTTACAAATTTTACCTCTTTATAATATTAGTATAGAGTATAGTATAGATGACAAAATTACTGGCATTCCCGTCCCGAGGTTAACAGCTGATATAGAGAGGGCGCGTGAAATTTGAACTCACTCGAACGCCCGTAGTTTTGTTATAGTGATAACAATAAAACTAATGTGTATAGAAAAAAGTTTCTTTAGGAAAGTTGTTTGTTATCGTGTTTAAATATCGGTCACTAACGCCCGGTTTCTGAAAGGCTTGTCAACGCTAAAATTAACTAATCCCCTGTTAAATCTCTTGTCAAGTCATCTGATTGGTTGTTGATAATTCAGTCAACCAATCAGATGACTTGACAAGAGATTAAATTGATTTTAATATTGATCGGCCTTTCGGGAACCGGGTGTAAGTCATCCTATTATATTTGTAGACGTTCCCGCGATACAGGAGATAATCCTCCTCCTCCTCCTCAATCCTCAATTCAAGTTTATTTCCACCACGTGAAACCTCAAATCGTTCAAATTCAACGTTACTATAGCAATCATCAAACATCTCGACGCGTAAAAAGCATCTAGGATTAGGATATTCTATTAAAAATTTTATTTGACTATTTTTTTCCCGTAAGACGTTTAGTACAATTTTGTATAGATGTTAAGGAAGATTTTTTTTTTTAAATCGCATTTTTTTTTCTGGTATGTAGGTAAGAAAATAGAGTTTGATTTAATACAGAGACAGTCGATATTGTTATATTACCCTACCCGAGCGGACGGCGCGCGCCTCAAAGAGTCAGTCACCACAGACGGGGCCCTATAGAGCTGATGTTCAGCCGGGGTTGCGGAGGCACCGCGGCCTCGGCCTAGAGCAGGAGAAAGAACGGAGGGTTTTAAGTCAGTAAGAGTCTGACTCTCCCTCCATTCCTCCCCCTCCAAGTCATTTGATGAGTTTCCCCTCACAAAGAGCTATTGTTATATTAAATTTTATACATTGTAACGAAGCCATATCTTGTATAATCATTGGTAGGCTCCTAATCAACCAAATAGTTTCTCTAACTCAATCGATATTTATTTTCTTACCTAATTACCAAATAACTTTGTTGACTGCCACCCAATTTGTTGACTTAACAAAAAACAATATACTAAATTTATAGGCTAATAATAACTTTTTGAAAATCTTTTTGGATCGGTCACTTTGTCTCTTCATAATGTCGTTTTCCACAAAAATACAGCAATAATCCTACTTTTGCTATTCGGATTATTCGTCTTTTTCCCAGATCGATGTTAGTCTATTGTAAGGGTAGGGTTGTTTTCGTTTTTTGCCTGTTTCTCCTGTCAATGCTAGCATTTTTTCAGTAATACCTAGTTTAAAAAGAGGTTTGGTCAATGGTATCAGTTGAGTTATTCAACAGGTTCGGTTGAGTTATTCAATAGATTCGGTTGAGTTATTCAACAGATTCGGTTGATTTATACAATAGATTCAGTTGAGTTATTTAACAGATTCGGTTGAGTTATTCAACAGATTTGGTTGAGTTATTCAACAGATTCGGTTGAGTTATTCAACAGATTCGGTTGAGTTATTCAATAGATTCGGTTGAGTTATCCAATAGATTCGTTTGAGTTATTCAATAGATTCGGTTGAGTTATTCAACAGATTCAGTTGAGTTACTCAATAGATTCGGTTGAGTTATTCAATAGTTTCGGGTTTGGTTATTCATATCGCATGCACCATCCAAGCCATGCCGTCTGTACAAAATTGTACAACTTTTTATTTTTTTAGTTTTATTTTTTAAGGAAGTGCGAAAGGACTGCCTTTTGTTATTAACTAGATTCGCACTTAAGTTTTATTCTCTCCTTATTTTTGTATACATAGTTATTATTATTATTTTAATTTTACTATTAATATTATTAGTGAATAGTACAAGATATGTTTTGTGAGTTCAAAAATTTTTGAGTTTGTCCTTATGATTGGAGTGCGTGTTCTTACCGGCTTTTTGCATATGCATTTGGTATTTTTTTTTTTAGGTTTTAAGCACGCGTTTCTAGGTTTTGTTTAGCTTTATGGTTTCTTTAGGGTTCGTACAGTCGGGGGTCAAAAATGCAATTACACACTACCAATTTTAAAATGACTAAAATTTCTTTGTAGTAAAAGTAGGTTAACAACCAGTTTATTCAATGATTTAGATTCTATGCTATAAATTAAAGCAGACCTCAACCATTGAAACTATTCTACAAAGATATTTTAGTCATTTTTAAATTGGTAGAGTGCAATTGCATTTTTGACTCCTGACTGTACATTGAAACTTTACAATTACAGCTATAAAATGTAGTATGATTATTAATTATGTTATCTTTAGCAACGATTCTTTAGTCTGATTGTGTGAAGCCAAAAATGGCTGTTACATTGTAAATGTCCGCTGTATACTTGCCCCTCCGATTAATTGAAAGGCAAAGAGATGCTATCTCGCTCATATAGACCTATGGTCTATCAGTTTAAATAATTAACTTAATGTAAACAATCTAATGCCCGGTTTCCGAAAGCCCGATCAATGTTAAAATCAACTAACTAGGTGTCAAATCTCTTGTCAAGTCATCTGATTGGTTGTTTTGTTGATAATTCAGTCAACCAATCAGATGACTTTACAAGAGATTAAATTGATTTTAACATTGATCGGCCTTTCGGAAGCCGGGTGTTAGTGTGTCTTTTATCTAAAAATTGTATGTAAAACTGTTTATAATGAGCTGTTTACCTAAATCAATGTTAGCTAATAGGTTATCTAAATTTATAAAATACTTGGTATGTATTTTTAAAACCTCTTTAATATGAAAAGACATACCATGATTGTTTATCGTTAGTTAACCATGTAAATTGATAGATCATAATTTTAATACAGTTTAGAAAAATTGTACGGTGAAGTCTT